GCTTGTAAAAAAAATTATTCTTGGAATTAAATATATAAAATAACCAACAGGGGAAAACAATAAAGCTTGTCACCCTAAGGAAAAGAGTGAGGAGAGGAATTCAAAACAGCCACATGGAAATGAAAACTCAAGGAAGCAGCAGCACAGTATTAATCAGCATGAGTTCAGAGCCTTCCAACTCTGTTAGGTCTCTCTGTGGAAAGAGAAAATGAGTTACTTATTTTGTAGAGATTGCATTTTTGCAGTCACAGAAGTGATTTACAGACAGATCCCACGTAAGACTTGAATGTATGCAATACGTATTGCGGAATATGTCTTCAGCAGGCTGAAAAGTCACTGGGTACCATTGAAGTTAGACTGAAGTGTTTACAAGCTTTTTTTTTTTCTTTTTCTTTTTCATTCCTTCAGTGTGATGAAAAGGGAGTTTGTCACAAGAAGCCTGGCTAGCTTGGTATCTCATCCTGCTTTCAACAGACAAAATTTCATTTAGTGACTTAATAATAATAAAAGTGTTGTCATACATCTGAGTTCCCCATGAACATGATCTCTTTTTCTGCTTGGAAATTTTGTGCAAATGGAAAAGGAGGAATTTAAACACTTCTCCCAGGATTTCTGACTATCATTCAGAGATTCTTATTCCACTATATTGATTAATGACCAAGCCTGAAGACAGAGGAGGCCAAATCCAGGCTATCTTATGGCACTGTTTCCTTGGTATGCTTTTATTGAGGTCTTTACTATTTGTGTGTGCTCTGCCTAAGATCTGAGTGGCAGAATTTCAGGAGCCCAGAGGCAGTGCTACAAGCAGTGCAGTGGCAAAGCACAGTAGGGCTTGAATGCACTGAGAAATTTCCTGGTAGGTGACAGTGTTGGGCCTCTAAGTGCAATCATGATGAGCTGTGTGATGTTAACCAGAATGATGCTTGTGTTGAATGCTAAGCACTACTTAACATGATTTTATGTGACATAGCCTAATACAACAGGATTTTGCAGGGTAGGTAAATTCAAATATTTTCAGAAGTCAGAATTTAAGGTGAAATATCATACTAACATATTAAAAATTAGTCCATCTGAAGAAGAGAGAATGGCGAGGCCAGCCAAGGACCACACTGTACCAGCTGGGTCTCAGGCAGGGAAAGTCAGTAGTGCTGCCAGGCAAAGAAGTTATGCATTGTCCATAACTTGTCTGCAATATATCCTTTATGATTATGTCTACTGGGATTGACAGAACTATGTTTGGTGTGATGAGTGGAAAGTTCACAAACAGATGGCAAAGGCAATGAAAGGGGTTTGTTTCAAGGGATGGTCATCATCGATGCTCTTCCAGTGTGGATCTGAATGTAAAATCCCTCCAAGTTTGCATGCAGCATCACTTTGTTTTCCTTGTCTCTTTTCCAGAACTGGTCGGGAATGAAGTGCCAATTCAAACTGCTGCGCATGGCTGTTGCCTTGATCTGTAGTAAGTATCATGCAATACCTGGCACACATGCAATCTTGTTTTCTTTGTCCATGTCATAAGAGTTCATGCTGATTCAGAGAGTATTGACTTTGCAGCAGTTTTGGTAGGAACTTGCAGCTGGACCTTCTGGCAGCGGAAACCACATTACTCTCAAATGCAGATTTTGGCTTTCAACACAAGCATTTGTAAATGAGGATTTGTTGTTAGCCAGCATCTGTCGCTTGTGGCATTTGTGAAGATCTGGGACTTACACATCTCGTCTTTGAATTTGGTAACAAGCAATGCTTTCGTAATGGTAATACTTTTCCTAGAGCATTTCTTATCTGGGATGGCAACAGCATTATACACACATCAATGAATTATCTTCCAGTCATAACCCTAGGGTGGCACGATAAGGGAAACTAGGCCATGTATTCATCACAGACAATTGTCTTCAAAGTCTAACTAATTTGTTTTTATGGTTCTGCTATATGTATTAGAAATCGAATATTCCCCAACCTGTCTACTCCCATGAACCCAGACCACTTACTAACCACTGGGGAGACCTCCTGTCTGTGTGCCACATCCCTTACATAGCCATGGCCTTCCAACTTCCTTATGCTCACCATATAAGGCAGTTTTTCCCGCTCCATCTCTTCAGGGATGCAGCGCTGCCTGCAAAATGGACTTAAGAAGGGATAGACCTAAACAATTAATTTCTTTTTCCTTCTTTGTTCCAGTGAGCTTTGAATTTGGAAGAGCTGTGTGGCTGCGATTCCACCCTTCCGCTTACCCGCCGTGCCCACACCCCAGCTTCATGGCTCACCTGGGAGGGGTGATGGTTGGAATCACCCTCGGCGTCATCATCCTGAGGAACTATGAGCAGAGACTCCAAGACCAGACTTTATGGTGGATTTTCCTTTCTATTTATGTCATTTTTGTCTTGTTTGCCATCTTCTGGAACATTTTTGCCTACAGCCTGTTGGATCTAAAGCTACCTCCCCCTCCTTGAAAACATGGGACAGAAAACTTGAGAGCAGAAGTCATCTGTCAGCTGTGTTAAATGAATGAAGATGGAGGATCTATTTTTATATTTAACTTAAGCGAGGATGATTCTTTTGAACGCGTGTTGGAGGGAGATGCATAAAGATCTCACAAAAGAATGGGCTGATCAGTTTGTTCACAAATCTAGCAGGTACTGTAATGTTGGCTGGCCTAGACCCTGCAGTTTCTCCACTGCCAGGGCTCCTGTTGGGCGGCTTGTACCTGGGCACTTATCACTTGGTTTGTTAGCACACATCAATATTTTGTATGAGATATTTGTATTTTCCAGGTCAGTGCTGGAATTATGGCCAGTTGTTGAATGAATCTTCTCAACGTTGCTGAATGCTAAAAGGGAAAAGAGTAGACATTTACTGATTAGAGACTCACGTGGTACTCACAAGACAGTTTGGGTTTGGTTTCTACAGACATATCTGACTGTTCAGCGATACCAGTGCCACTGTCTAATTACTTGAATGGTTCCTAAGATATTTTAGCCTATGGTGACACCTGTCTTGTGCACCTTTCAAAGGAATCAGCAGAACTTGATCACCCAAAGTGATGGAGACTGGTCTTCAGCTACAGGTCAAATGAAATTGCACTATAAACCTTGGGAACTCTGTTGTGGACACCCATCCAGAGGTGACTTTTACTGTGCATGTTTCACTTGATTTTTATTCGCTCCCCCCCTAGCCTGCTGTGGCTAGAGGGTGTGACTGGGATTTCTTTTTTGAGGGATGGAGAAAAGGAGGGCATATGTTCAACTGTGTTTTTATCAGCTGACAATCAGGTGCTGTTTTCTTCTCACTTTGTTTCTGTTCACGTTGATCTAACACCTGGCCTGCAGTGAGCTCCTAGCAAGGATCTCAACTCTTCCAGCAGGTTCTTACGAGAAAAGTGGGACCAGGATCACCTGTAGCAGTGCAGAGTGGGAACTATCTAGTCTTTACAGCCATACAGTCTGTTTGGGGCCAAATCTGTCCACTGAAGTCAGTGCAGTTAAATCAGGTTGTATGTAGCACTGGTTTCCCACTGAAGTGGAAACGGTGTTACAGTGGTCATTGTGAAACTGATAAAACTGATTTTAAAGTGACTGCTAAATTTTGAGGATGCCCCTTCCTGAGGCAATGGACGTTCAGGGGCTCCAAGCAACAGTTAGTTGCGATGATGCCTTTTTCTTTAATGTTGGTCAACCCCAGGTTTTGGCAATCTGTAACTGGTCTGTAGCACAGTCCATACAGCTGCCTGAACGGGCCTGGGGACTCGACTGGAACATCTGTAGCACAAGCAGTGCTTGTAGGTACACTTCTCTGTATGGTGCTTATGTTGTTTTTCTTCTCACTTTAGAGAGCTGCCAAACTACAGTCCAGGAATGTGGATGCCCTCCTTTTCTCTCCCTTTTACCCACCTAGTATGATGACCTGGATAAAGCAGCCATAGGAGTCTCGCTATACTAGCTCCTTTCTTCCTTTTTTTTCTATTTGCATACTGGTGCCCAGGCACCAGCCACCAGAGCCTTCCACAGCACATCTCATGGGCGCTGTAGCTGTTGAATTTGCTCCGTAGCAAAATGTCTCTGTATCGTGGGCTTTATTCTCTCAGCTGTGTAATCAGTGCTGCCAGATGATACCACAAACTGGTAGGAGTCTATCTTTCTAGAGGGGACATTCACAAGTGCTTATCAGCTGCCCCCGTCTTTGCCTCTTATGGGAAAAATCTCTCTGGAAGGGTGAAGTTTTGCTCCTACAGTATGCACTAATAAAACTCCTGTTGCCTCGGGGAAAGGCAGGGGGGAAGAAAGTAACTGTTTCTATAGCCTGGAAAGGGAGGGGGGAGAAAGTAACTGTTTCTATAGCCTGGAGTAAGCCTTACCTGCAAAAAGAATTTTTGCTACCTTTGTGCACATGAATGCGATTTCTGAGGGCAGCTGCACCTTTGTGGTAGTGCATGGCTAGTACGTTGCTCATTGGCCCTCAGATCAAGGAAAAAGAGGAAGGGATAAAGTTCAGAGTTCTGTTCATTTTGGAGGAGGGCTTGGTTCCCTGTGCCATTTTACCTCTGTAGTTTGGGTTCAGATCAAAGCAGTCACAAGAGTTTACATGCATCGTTTCAGGTGCTGGCCCAGTGATTTTCGTAGCGGTGGAGATCATCTCCCTGGGGAGCAGCAGGCAAGCAGGAGAGCGGGGAGCTAAGCATGGTTAACACGTAAGGAGGACATTCCTTTCCTCACCTATTGCTAAGCCTTTCTAATTACAGATGCCTTTAAAACAGAGGTGAGCAGAAACGGGAGTTCCCCTGGAAGTTTTGGGAAAACTTTGAAAATTTTGTTACAGAATTTCAATCACAACAAAACCCAGATAATTTGGTTTTTTTTAATAATTTACCAGAGTACAGTATGCACCAATTGACTCTTATTTTTGGTTTCTCAACTGAAAGCTACTTAATGCCCATCAGTTTCTCCCCAGGAAAGGTTTCTCTGCATGCCGGTGATGTGCTCTGGCGTGAAGCAGCAAGCTGGAAGTTCAAGGGCCACCAGTTTCTTCATCAGCCTGACCCTGGCCAACAGGTCTTTGCCTCTGCTCAGGAGTAGGAGGGAGCTGAACAGATTAATCCAGGCACCCTTCTTTGGTCCTTTATCCATAGATGAACATAGTTTACATGAACTGGTTGAAAACAGCTCTGAGGTTGAGCTTATGATTTGTTCTTTTAAACTGTTACTCATCTTTTTTACTTCCATGCTGTGTCACCATACCCTGTTTGAGCAAGTCTACAAGCGACCCTGGGGATCAGAAAGGCTAGACTTTAAACCGGTGCTAGATTTATTGTGGGTGAAGAAATTAAACCCTCTCACGTTCCTGCTCATCAGAGCTGAAATCTCTCCCCATACATAGAGCAGGCTGTACACAGTCTGCTGTCTGCTAAGAATCTATCAGCTTATGGAGTCAGGAGCGGTGCGAAGTGATGAAGCTTTTATAATTCTTTTTTTATCACTAAAATTATACTGTGAAAACTTGTTATGTTTTTACAGAGTATTAGGAAACCCAGTTACATTTTCTAATGCACCCGGGAGTGCCACAGTGCTGCAGCACCAGAGAGCTAATAGCAAACAGGCTTTTCTTTTACCTCCAGATGTCCTTGAAGCTGCTGGCTTATGTCAGAGACGAAATATTCTCCATCCTGCTCATTTGTGGTTCCAACTTGTCACAGGCAGCAACGTGTTCCTGAAGGAGCCTCCGCTGAGGGCCTGGTTTTGGTGATTGCTTTGGTTTTATTTCAGCTGCTGCCAGGATTTTACCTCAGTCAGATAAAATGTGAATCTATTGAACCTCATGGATGTGCAGTGCTAGAGCAAAAGGCAAGGACTGTTACCAATGTACAGATTTGAACCGTGCACATTAGAGGAAGTTATTTTTCACTTGTGTCCTTGAGAGAGGACACAACACCTGGAAAAAAAAGCTGCTGCTTTTGTGCTGGACTTCCCACTTAGTAAGTATATTGCAGTACTGGTCCAGTGAGAATGGATGTAGGGAGTAGTAATGCAGACTGGGAGAGCGTGGGGGGCTGGTTGTAGAGCTCCTTCAGGGACATCTGCTGGCAGCATGGCGACAGCACTGATGGCATCCGGCTCTGAGCCTCTTGCTGATCCCTCATCCCAGAGAAGTGGCTCAGACAGCTGTGGGGAGGAAGAAGAAGAAGGAGGAGGGGAACCAGGTAGATCGAAGTCCATGGGGCTTGCAAATTGCACCTTTTATTCCTCGATGCTTGGAGGCAGGTGGAGATTAATTTTGCACACATTGGTACCAATATAGGATGGAGGAGGGGAAACATTGTAATGGAGTGATGGGAGAGGAGGTTACCAGAAACAATCTCTGAGTGAAGTATAGAGGAGTTGTAAAAATGCTGATGAGTTTACTATTGCTGAGTTCTTAAGACAACATCTCATGTCACTTTCTCCCCATCAGTCGATGAGGAATCTTGGCACTTACGTGGCATGTTGTGATTCTTCACTACTTGCTCCTTTAGCAGTCGTAAGTATTTTATGAATGGGAAGGGAGAAATTACTGTTGTCTGAGGTTGCTGGACTAGAAATAAAGCTCAGGGATTCTATGTCCCAAGACCTTGCTCCTTCTGATGGATTGTACTGTCCATATGTTTTAAATCAGATTAGATCAGTTTGAACTGGGGTATGAAGGCTGGAATCTGACACACTTGGAGCTAGTACTAAAATAACAGCTATCTGCTGACCTTACAAGACAGCTGCTGTTTCGTGCCAATATTTAGTCTCACAGGATCATGGGTAGGACTTTCATACGTACTTCAGTGAGTAAAGAGCTCAAAGTCTATCTGTTTACATAGATTCAAGCTCAACTCAATTGCTTTGGAAACCCCCTCCGTTGGCTTTACCCAAAGTGGAGCTGGAGAATATGGATGCAGTTCAACACCAGCAACCTCCGGAGGCAAACTGGGATCTAGAGAACAATGGCCAGCACCTCTGGAGGTTTAGCCTCTCTGAATATTGCTGCTGTTCTCTTTCTTTTGTAGTAGTGGCTGCTCTACAGTGCTCTGTGGTATGACTCAAAAATTCCTTCTGCAATCACTGATGCTGAGAGCTGGTTATAGTGGAGAACAGTGCATTTTGCAGCTCTATAAAGAAAGAATCACGTGTAAGACAGAAACCAAGCTTGTTTAAAGGTAAATGTATTTTTAATGTCACCATTGACCATTGGCTTTTGATTGGAAAAAGCTCTCTAATGAGGTATTTCTGAAATGCCAGTAGTAGTACAGAAAACTTATGTTTCAGGGTACTTTACAACACAGAGCACAAAATATTTCTTAGGCCTGATTTAAGTAGCAAAAATACCTTAATTTCCAGGGAGCTTAATAGGTAGGTTAGTCACTGGCTGTCTCCTGACTCCCCCACAGTGTCTGTTTAGTTTGCAAATAAAGCTAGATTTATGTAGCTTTTCTTTTGCTTACACTACTAATGCTAACAACGCATCCAAATGTTGAACACAAAGCACTAAACAACGTAATTTTCTGCCTTAAAATACTGAACAAATCATACTTTCCCGTTAAGGGCTAGTAAAACGAAATGATATTTGCAAGGTAAGATGCTATGGTATGTTTGCAAATATTTTTGTATTGTGTACATTCTGTATATTTTTGTTGTAACAGTATTATTTGAGCACAAAATCCATTAAATTTTTTTTGGTGGTGGGTTTTTTGTTTTTTATTGTTTGTGGGGTTTTTTTAAAGAAAATCAAGCTGCTCTACATCACATGCCAAAAAGCAACCAAGAAAAACTTTCAAAGAGAGTTTTGTAGGTTTATCTGCAGTTAAAGCAGTATTTAACAAAAGAGCAATTGGTTTGAGCTCTGCAATGTAATCTTTTAATAATGACTCATGTTTATATCTGTCTAAAAGCTAAAGGGGAAAGTGAACTGCTGCTTTATTTCTCCATGAGGTGTAACAAGGACACAGAACCAGCTTGTATTGGAACTGAGGTCTTGTCCCACTATTTGACAACGGACACTTTAGTGCAGTAGTGACCCCATAACTGCAGGGAAGTTGACGACCAAGTACATTAGACTGTTTAAAAATTTTTATTGGGCTGGAGGGTTGTTCTCTTTTAATATCAGTGTATATTGAATGTCTTAAAATCTCAGAGCCAACACATTCTCGTCTCTTGGATCAATAGTGGGAATGACATATCCAGGAAGTTCTGTAGGAAACCTCCAACTGATTTAGTTATTTTGAGATAACTAAAGTAAATTTTTTTTCACCAGTGTGGAAGGGGTGGCTTATTTTGAAAAAAATTTTGTGTTTTTGTTGGGAAACATTGGATTAAAGTGTAACTTTAAAGAAATGAAGATGTAACTAGCAGCAGTTCCTGTAGGGGAGGCAGATTACTGCTACCATATGTGGGACTTGGCGCTTGCTGTTAGTTTTCTGCACTTAACTGAGCTTTCCAAGACTCTTAAACCCCCTCATTCATTAGTTGAGGACTTTCAGTGAGAAGGTAAGTTGGGTTTTGCCAGTTAATACAAGAAGTGTTACTGTCTTCTAGCACCATACATCTTTCTTGCTGGCTAAAATAATTTTAGAAAGGCAAATTGAAGGACAGAAATATTGCCAATTCCAGCGTATCTGTTGCAGAGAAGGAGCCAAAAGCTGGCAGCCTTGATCACACAAACTCATAAAACTCATTATCATTTTATTCCCATAGCTCCAATTATGTTCTGTCTAGTAAGCATTGCTCCTAAGTGTTGGAAAGAGAAATACTAATTGGTTTATATGCTACTTCTCTGGGGGGTAGAAGGGGGGGAAACTCAAAAAACAAACCAGACCCCGATCTTTCAAACTGCAAGAGGTCTCTAGCAGTTAAATCTAAACTTGCATTCTTAACGCAGGCCTGGGGGATTTTTTGGTTGGTTGGATTTGGGTTTGGGGGCTTTGTTTGTTGGTTTTGTTGTTTTGTTTTGTTTTGTTTTCCCCAAAGGGTTTTGAATCAGACCCTTAAAACTAGAGTAAAAATCTTTCAGGTTTGGAAATTAAGTGCACGTCTCATCATCTTCTGACCTTTCATGTGTTTAATCCTGAGCTTTGAATAGCTGATTGCTAGAGGAAGTTGTCTGTAATACTCTCCAGGCATTCATGCAGCTAAACCAGCTGCTTCTGCATTATTTATTATGCTTTTGTTTAATTTCCTTCAGTTTTGTTTTTTAAAATAGAATTTATAATGGGAAGATGCCAGTAAAACCTGCAAATTTGTGAACTACCAGGGTGAATTTCAATGTGTGTATGTGTACTTGTGTGAGCATCTTGAGTTTAGTAGTTAGGTAACTGAACGGCAAAGTCGTTGCAAAGCTGGCAAAAGCAAGATGATATTAAAACAAAAGATGCAGAAAGCAAGAAGTTATGTTTTTCACAATGCCAGTCACCTTCAGCACTGGGAAAATTCAGGACAAGAAACTTGGAACAGAAAAAGCTGTGACTGAAGCTGTCCACGTGTAACAGAGTACTAATTCAGTGGGACTGTTACTGAGCAATGAACTCATTACCTTGGAGACAGGAAGCCCCAACAAGACTAAGCAAAGTTTCACAGTTAAGGTTAAAAGTATCTGGGTTTTGAAGAGTGATTTGTGATAATTTACCTAAACAAAACAAAACAAAAATCTTATTTAAATGAGTGTAGTACATGACAATAGAGTAACTCAGGTTATAAGGGATCTCAGAAGGTCTCTAGTCCAACCTCCTGCTCAAGACAGCGTCAACTAAGAGGTAGTGCAGGGTGTTCAGCACTTCAGCCAGTTTATCCTTGAAAAATTTAGGGATGAAGACTGGGCAAACCGATTGTGGTTGCATCTCAGGGAATGTTTATCACCACCAGCACTGCTGTGCCTGGGACTGACCTACTCTTTGTAAATATTAAGGTCAGCATATAGAACACCTGACCCAACTCTCCACCCAGCCACCAGCACAAGGAACAGGACAGGACTACTGTGATGCTTTCTTATACTCACAGCTACCTGTTCTTCACATCAACTATTTTTGCCCTTTTTTCTAAAGATGTACAAGAGCAACAAACAGTGACATATTTTATTGAGTGGCACAGCTTTATTCACTCATGAATAAAATATTCAGAAGGAAAACATTACTTCTCAGAGCTCCTGCAAATGAGAGAGTAAGGAGCTTGTTTTAGTTCAAACTACTTTTATTTTTTCCTCTGACCCGCCTCTATATGTTATGTCACCTCTGCTGTCATATGACACTTGCAGACTCCTGCACATTACACTAGCAGCTCCTCTGTGTTGTGTCAATAAAGGGTTTTAAACAGGAGATACCAAGGGTAACACTAATTTGTAATTTAATGTAGGCACACTATTAAGGATTTGAATGTGTTTTATTATAAACCTTATTCTAGGTTCAACACCGTGGTGTCACAGGACAGCATTCAACTTCTGTCATCACAGTTTACAGCTCTGGCAGAACAAACAGTGGAACTTAACTGCACTAGTAAGACTGTTAATGGTTATTGTTTCAGGGAGGATTGTTCAAATGTCCTAAGTTAGGTGTTCAAACACCCTCTGCTGCAAAGGAAAGCAACAGAGAGTTTTACTTATATCGGGTTTGCAGACCTTATATGGCCACTCAGAGGCCTCCTGAGTTTTGATTCCATCTGTAGCCAAAGATTTTCTTCAAGTATTCTGCTATCTAAATGTCCTATGATATGGGTAAGAATTCATTGCTGAAATACAATGAAATGTTTTAAAGTCTGAATAATTAACTTGGGAACTTAGTTTACTTCAATTTCTGAAAAAGTTTCTATTAATTTAAAGTTAGTATTTAATCTGTAAAATTTTCAGGTTTAATTCTCCATGACTGAAAAACATACTATTATTTACAGTTATGCAAAATGGGTACTAAGAACAAAGAAAGAAGGTCTTGATCACAACACAAACTAATGAAGAATGGGGTTCATCAAATAGCCTGGGAATTTAACATGTCTGTCCAGTGTATGTATGCATACATACGAGCACATACAAACCGGTTCGTAAAACTCTCTTCAGTCTTAAGGCAGTTTTATTTCGTACCAATTAACAAGTTGTTTATCTAGTAACAGAAGAACAAATTGCCAATTTGAAGCAAAATGTAGAAACTAGCTACAGACTTGTTACCTATGTTCTCTTACATAAACAAATACGATTAATTCATTTATTATGATTTATCCAGATGTTTGTGCTTCTTTATACATTAAAACAAAAGTAACCAGTTCTTAATGATTAGATATGATCACTTCAAAAATATTTAAAACACTTAACACTGAAATGCTTGCCAGGTAAGGGATTTGTGGGTTTGTTTGGGGTTGTTTTGTGCAATGACTGTAAAAACCAAATCTCATGATTTCCTCAGAAAAGGAGCAAGTCATTCGGAGAATCTGGTAAGTATGGAAAACTATGCAGGAATTTGCATGATCTGCTATTTACACATTTAAAAAGCTCATACTGCTTTATCGAAAAAAGAGAAAAGGCAGATGAAACTGCAACTTAGGTTTGATTTAGGTAATACTTTTAAATATAAATTAAAAATCCTGCAGTAGTGAAACTAAGCTGCACAGAAGAAATTAATGATTTATACAATACCCTCAAACAACTACAGAATAATTAAGATTATTTTAAGCCACTGATGTTTCTCTCATGAATTCCTCAAGGACGGTCACTACATTTCTGGCTTCTGGCATTTCTGCATGTTCTACTTTAACAATCTTCAAAAGGATGTCTCCACTGCCACAGTTCTTTAGAAACATGTAACACTTGAACAAGGCATAGTGGTTCATTTCAGCCTGGCGGATAAACCTCTTCAGGTTGTTAATGTCTTGTATAGCCTGGGAAAAGAGTAACAGAGCATCTTCTACATGGAAAGAAAACATACTATCACGTGGAAAAGTGGAGGAAGAATAGCAGAAGAAACAAAAGCATTTCCAATAGGAATTTTGTATTACCACTCAAGAGTAAACTAATAATTGAGTACTGCCTTTGATGCATATTACCATTGTTATTGTAACAATGCAAAATGTGTGGACACCACAACTTGATCATGTCCAAAGCTATATCAAGAGTTCTCTTCTCTTATGACAGATGACCTAAGAAGTGTTAACTGTCTATCCATGTTACTCAATTACATGATATTGTATGTGCACAGCTCAAATTAACAGTATTTTAAGGGGGAAAAAAAAAAAAGTGGGTTTTATTTTAAATATGAGAAAATGCCTTTGGAGTTCTCACTGAAGAAACTTTCACACTCCTTTACATTCTGGTCTTGTCAACTACAGTAAGCCAGTCCTCAAATTAAACTTCAGAGTTAATCAGCTAATGACATATAGACATTGTAAGTAACCTAAAACTTTTCTTTGCTGCAAAAAGAGTATTTGCTCCCTCAGTAACCCTGATGGCTTCTCCAAGTCTTTAACATATATGAACAGGTACCTTCAATTTAAAGTTTTCCAAAATCTGCTGGAAGAGAAATGGATTTCCACCTTCAGCACCATTCACAAAAGCATGCATCCAGTCCTCGCAGAACCTGTTGCTTCCTATTAAGTGTTCAGGAACACAAAGAAGAGATGAGAAAAAGTAAATAAGCTCAACATAAATATATAGCTGCATTCCTCTGGTTTAATCACTCTCACGTAATGACTCGTAATAGTATACCTGTGCCAGGACAAAAAAAAAAAAAAAAAAAAAAAAAAGGAAAAGAAAAGCAAACATAGCTGGTGATTACATGAAATTCTGTTCTGGTTGTTCAATCCCTTTTCACAGTATTTGTCAAAAATACAACAGGAAGAAAAAAGTTTTGCAGCTTCCCTGAAGTGTACAAGTCATAGTTTCACTGTCTGCAAACTAAATGCACTGTGGATTTTATTATCAACCATTTTCAAACCAGAGTTCCAGTGCATCAGGTAAAACAAGCTACTCTGCTATCTCAGAGGAAACCAGGTGTTATAGTTTCCAGCCAGAATCCAAACTTTCTGAGCATGCACCTATGAGCTTCTTCATATTCTCAACTCTCAGCAGCTGAGGGATACAAGCGGGTAACATGAAGAAGTATTCACAGCTGTAATCTCACCTGCATTATGCAACTGAGGCTGAGGTCCACTACAGTCTATAATCATTGACTTGTGCTGTTCCTCAGTCATGGCAATACACAAGGAGGTCATTGTTCCTTCCTGAACAAGTCCTTGGAGGCTGGCAGCTGCCAGAAACCTGACACAAAAAGCTCATGTGAACTGCTTGTTTCTTTACAGTTCCTTAACAGCAAGAACAGGAGGGTGTTATATGCAAAAGCCAAGTTACTCGCAGGTTCCTTGGTCTCAAAGTATCTTTACCTGCTGATGTCTTTTTCTGTTCTTTCATCTGCATTTTTCACTTCTACAGGAGTATAACTCAAAGCCTTAAAACAAAGAAAAAAGAAAAAAAGCTGGATGCAACTTCGATATTACTTCTGTTGCTATATTGCAGTTACTAGCAATAAATACATAATGTGATACTTGAAAAATTGTTCTTTTCAGAGAAAGGGTAGAAGCTAAGGGAATACTCCGTATTATAGTCATTGCAGCTGGTGTTGCATTCAGAAGAAATACAGCAGCTAGTCTATTTCCTATTCCTTCCAAACCCTCCTCAACCTTGGGGACTAGAGCTAGGATTAATTTATTTTCTGTTTCCAGTGAATTACATGAGGCACATACGCAATATAACATCCCTTTTGGTTCAGAGGAATTATAGTAGGGACAGTTTACTCACGCCGTTTCTAATTTTCTCATTCTAACTTCAATTTGGACACTACTATGTAATTTAAAATGAGTTAACTATGAAAATTGATAGAAGAAATTGCTATGTGCTTCCTTAGCAATAAAGCAGTGGAAAAGTACTTGCCCTGAATTAAAAAAAAAAAAAAAAAAAAAGAGAAGCTTTAGTTATCTAGTTTGAAATACACTTACAGCATGTAACAGAAAGGCAAGTTTCTCCTGGAAGAGCTGTACTACTCTCTGAATAGGGCATATGGCATTCTCAAACCAGCTTCTCAAGCAGGGATTAACATAGGTCTCCATGTTTTTTTGCTGTAACAAGTTGAAACATTGAAACTTTAACTACAAATTAGATTTCTATATAACAAAAAGCCTATTAATAATCTATCCAACCTAAGATATTTGGATGTCAGATCCTTCTTAATTTCAAACCACAGTACGCTAAAATAATGAGTTTGACATTTAAAGCCACACTTATGTGGAATATCAGCAATGAAGCGCTTTGCATTTTAATAAATAGACAGAACTGTAATATTATGGTATACACTGAGCAAAGACTATGCAACAGCAGATGGGATGAGACAGAGACTTAAAATGCATAGTTTCCATTAGAAAAATTGTGACAAGAACACCACTAATAATCCTTCCTTAACATTCAGAAGTGATAAGAACCTAGGTGGACATCGATAACTTTCCTGCAGACCATTACCTTTTATTAGTCATTCTTCTCTCTGAATCTAACTGCACATAACCTTTAAGAGATTTATGAGTGGCAGAAAAAAGCGCGCCCCCCCCCGCAGTCTAATTGACCCCCCCCCCCCCTTTTTTTCCCTTTTGACTTGTGTGGTTGATAGCATTTTAGACACCCACTATCACTACAGTGAATTAAGTATCTCTCACAGTGTTTCATACTAGTACTTAAAACACCTGTTTTGTCTTTATAGACTAAATCTTCCAGATTGTCTTAGTAATTGATTTGCATAAATAGTTAGGCCTTACCTCCAAATCGAGATTTATCTTCAGACTTTGAATGTATTTGTCCAGCTCAAGTCTGAAAGTATCTTCTTAAGGAAAATAAGATGCATCAGTTAAGACCTGCATTTTTCCCTTTCAGTATATGGCTGTTATTGACATTTTCAGTTACTGGAAGGTGTGCATAAATGGGCTGCTTTCAAGTAGGAAACAGACAAAATGAGAACGTAATTTCTACATCATCTCCTTCTCCACACAGATAAAGAAAGTTAAAGGTAAGGATATAGTTCCAGACCTTTCTCTGAGCCACCTAAGAAACAAACCACATATTCTGGAGCATTCATGTCTGATTCCAGTGTTGCCATTTCTAGAAGATTTTCTTGTTGGAAACGACAGTAGTAACAACCAACTTTATATTCTGGTATGCTATGCAGAAAAAAAAAAACAAAAGGAATTATCTTATTACACATACTTCACAATAAATAAGTGCAAAAAGCAGACGTGCATATTTCTGTAAAGAATTTTCGCCCGCTAGCACTGGTGGCTCCTATGGTCATATATAGAGCTCTTAGACTTCTTTTTTCCTCTGTGGTGCAATCAGAGTAGTTTAAAAGGAAATAGTCATAAACACATGTAGTATTTTTTAAGTGTTCAAACAGTAAATTATTTACTACAATATTTTTCTCAAAGCCACCTAGACAAAGAGGAAAGTGCCATTGTGTAAAGCTGTTACTAACAGCAGCAATAAACTGAGAAAATGGAATCAGGATTAAACTTAAGTGCAGCAGCAGATGACAAGATATGCAATGCTGCCAATGTTTCTTACAGTTTCTGATTCGCAAATAATTTTTAAAATTTACCTCAGCCCCACTGATGCTACATTTCCCATTCCTTCAAACAGGGCTCCTTTAGCAAGACGCTTAGCAATAAAACTGCGCAATTCAGTCTCTGCTTCAGCTGGTAAGTTAGTGTCCAGCAAGGAGAGGCTTTAAAAAACAAGAAGAAACAGTTAGCAAAAAGCAAATGTTATTGTTTTGTTTCTCTGAACAAGTGAAGAACCACCTGTGCCTAGAAGGGGGACCACTACGATCTCTCTCAGGCTTGGTTAATTCGCTCTGTGACTTCTGGCCCATCAGAAATGCATTTGGTGGTTTGCCCACGAGATCAGAAGACTGGAGTTGTAGTGTCAGCTGATGCTCAGCAGCTATGAACAAGTCACTGCCCCTCTTTGCTCCTGTGTTTCCCTAGTTGTAATAGAGGGCAACAACTCCATTACAGAGCATGTGGAAAGATAAGACGTCCGTTTAAAATTGTTTAACAAATTGTAATTATCTACATGAAGACCTAAGTCAATATAGAAATGTCAAGTATTAGTAGCAAACTCAAACTTTGAGTTCGAACTCAAAGATGATAGTTTAACACATTTGAGCTCTGTAATTGTATCCATTCCATAGGTATTCTAGAAAAAAGCACCCAGGCGATTTCAATATGCTTTCACAGAGATTTCTGTTTTAAAGGGACTTCTATGTACTTGGTTCGTATTCACCGAATAGCAACACGGCAGAGACTCCAAAATGGGGTGTTAAAGGCGATTATGTGGTTCTACAGATTGGCTCTACCTGAAGTCTTCCGTGGAGGGTGTCTCTGCCGCCGCAGTGCTGGGACTGCCATCCCTACTGCCCGCTCCTGGCTGCGGCGACCTGGAAACGGAGCCGTTCTTAGGATTGATGCTGCAGCCGTAACGGGGGAACAGGGGCTGCAGCGGGGAAAGGTATGGCCCGAGGGCGCTTTAAAGCAGGAGCAGGGAACCGGGACATGATGGGAGGGGAAAAAAAAATGTCCCCGGGAGGGATAAAGCGAATTCAAGCAGCTGGGAACTGACAAGGCCTGGAAACGG